AGGAGCCAAGCTCTAGCTGAAGGCGTGACATGCACTGTCAGCAGGCTCCCTTGAGATATCCCTGGGACTCAAGAGCTGTCAGCTCCTGAAAGGCTTCTGGAAGTCTCCTGGGAGATGCTACTTGAAATAGAATGAAGAAATCACAGAGTTGTTCTATCAGAATGGGGCTGTTTATGAGAGGTGGAGAATTCCCTACTCCAGAAAGCCCTCTTCCTGTTCCACAAGAAAGGGGGACACTTAGGAAGTGACAGGGAGGGGTTCATTTCCCCCTCTGTGGGGCATTGATTCTGAGGAGTCAATGAGGGGATGCTATTCAAGGCTTGAAATCCACAATTTGGAAGGGCCATGCAAGTTCCTTGTCTAACCCCTTACCTATAATCAATGGGAGACAGAGGGAGGGAGGCAGCTGCTCACACAGAAATACCTTCACTATGCTTGACATGACAGGGATGGTCCACGACATATGCAAGTGTCTGCAAGTGTAGGGGCGCGCTTCAAGGACAGCAGCACAGTGTGTATCAGCAAGCAGGATGCCTTGTTAGTAGATAACCACCTTCAAGGCCGACAGTGTACTTGTTCCATCTGCAGACCAAAACCAAAGGCAGCTGTCCGGCTGCTGCGTGACCATGAAGCTGATAGGACAGTCCTAGTGTAATCTTTAGGAACTGTGACACACTTGCTTTAGGCAAGTGTAGGAATTGTATCTGGGACCTTATAGATAAACTTACAAAGGTTTGGATGGTACCCTCAGATATGTGAACCTGGCACACCTGGATTGGTAAGGTGGATATGTCGCGTACGTGTGTGGCTTGTGTGATCTCTCTTGTATATAAGGCTTTGTTGATTATGAAATGAACGCTACTGGGCCATCCCACCATTAGGCCCTGCTCCTTGATGACGCCGCCGCGCAACTCCACCGGTTCCTGGAGCCGAAGAGCTCTTCTGGAACTTGAACACTTGATAGCTTGAACTTGATAGCTTCAGCAAGCTATCAAAAGCAAATATGTTCTTTGTGCAGAAGGTAAGTTCAAAAGCACAGGCATAAGAGGAGAAGTCTTTTCATTGTAGAAAGAATTTTTTTGCTGCTTTGTGCATGCATGACTTGCAAATACAGAAATTGGAAATGTAGGATGGAAATACTGCACGACATGTTATGATTTGGTGGTAATTTTGACTAGGGATAACAGAGAGAGGGAAGGACCTTGGCACCAAAGACCTGCATGATCTTTCTACATTTTTGATTGTTTCTTTTTGTTTTTAACAAAGAGCAATAACACATCTTTGTGGAATGCGAAGGAGATGTAAGAGGTGAAGAAAGATCTGTTTTTGAATGAATGAATTGAATATTCAGAGAGACTTTATTGCTCTCTTCTTCCTACCATGACAGAAAGCACATTGGCATGGGCAATATCACACATGTGACAGAGTTTGTTCTCGTGGGATTTCTAAACCACTGTGAAGTGGAGATCATCTTCTTTGTGCTGTTCCTGCTTGCTTATTTAGTGACCTTTTTGGGAAATGCTCTTATCATTGTGCTGCTCTATATCCACTGACACCTCCATTCTCCCATGTATTACTTCCTCAGTAATTTGTCCTTCATTGAGGTCTCCATGACTTCCTCTGCTGTGCCAAAAATGCTAGCAAACTTGCTGTCAGAGAAGAAGACCATCTCCTTTGGTGGCTGCTTTAGCCAACTCTACTTTTATTTCTCCCCGGCTGCAACAGAGTTCATCCTCTTTGCCATCATGTCCTATGACCGCTATGTGGCAATATGCAATCCCCTGAGATATCCCACCATCATGACGGAGAGGGTGTGTGGCCAGCTTCTCCGGGGTGCCTGGGTGGGTGGCATGGTCTTGATCTTGCCCTTAGTGGTCCTGAAAGCCAAGCTGCCATACTGTGGTCCCACGTCATTGACCACCACTACTTCTGCGAAAGCGCACCTCTCCTGCACCTCGCTTGCACAGACATCTAGGTTGCTGAGCTGAGGGATTTTGTGGTGTCCGTGCTCCTGCTCCTTGGCTCCTTGGCACTGACTGTCTTCTCCTATGCCTGCATCATTCTGACCATATTGCAAATCCCATCTGCCCAGGGCAGGCAGAAAACATTTGCCACTTGTGCTTCTCATTTCACTGTTGTTTCCCTGGGTTTTGGCATCTCCATCTGCATCTATGTCAGGCCTCCCCAAATGAACCCTGGACATCTCATCAAAATCCTCTCTGTTCTCTCCAGCATTGTGACTCCTCTTTTAATTCCCTTCATATTCAGCCTCAGGAATCAGCAAATGAAAGAAGCCTGGGAAAATGCTTTGCACAATTGCCTGGGCATGGCTGAGGAGGCCAGAAAGCCATGAGAAACATGGTGGCTTGTAGGAAGTCAATCCTTGACAAATCTCAACAGGGTCTCTGCATGCGTGGTGTCTCCTGTCAGAATGTGGCTGGTTATGGACAATGTTGAGGAACAGCACATGTCTCAAAGGTCAGCTTCACAGCAGTCTGCTTGTGTCAGACTCCACTGAAATTCTCCTGCACTTTAGGTAGTGATGGACATCTGTGTGGTACTATGTGCTTATTGGGCATAAAACAATCTCCTATTCTGAACAAAAGGCTGTAAAACTGAAAGGAACAGAAAGAGCACCAGAAAAAAAGGAGTGGTAAAGTGAAAAGAAATGGCTGTCAATGTATAACTAGTAATTTTACTAAATTTTCATCATAGAATCATGTTTTCAAATAAAGTTTTCAAGTTTCAAATAAAATGTTTTGCTGGAGAGTAGCATGAATTAATGCTTCATCTTTGAATTACAAGTTGTAGCTGATAGAAATAAGATGGGGGACTCTCAAAAAGTAGATGCAGAAATATAAGAAATGCTGAGGAGTACCAGAAATAGCAGGAGAAACTGAACACTGATGTGCAAGAGCATGAAGTCAGATCTCTGCCTGTGATAGAATGGTTCTCTCTCTCTTTTAAGGAAGTRATGGGACCAATGAGTAAAAACTCTAATCTTCCTACTTATTCCTATGTATAAATAGGTTAATTAGGAGTCAGATGCTGGCCTCTTCCCCCTCATAAAATTCTAATTTTATCTTGGAGACTTGTCAGCCCTAAGACTCCAAAAATAAACCTCAAAGATAATGCAAGCATGCAAAAAAAAAATCTAAAAAAGAGAGAAAAATAAAAAGAAAAAACTATTAAAACTTTGTGGGTTTTTGAATTCAAGTCTTGAGAAAACCATCATCCTGTGTTTTTCATTTAGCTAATGTGAATGCTTTTGTCACATATTCTCTAACCAGCTTCTCATCCTTGATGCCCCAGAGTTTAAAGCTATCTGCTCCATCTCAGTCTGCCAGAAATGATGGTGGGTTTCCAAACCTCTTCCCCCGTTCAACCAATAATTCCTGTTCTTCCCCCATTCACCCAATAATCAGGAATAACAGCCCCGATTGCTGCATTCTGACAGGGAAATAAGGGCTATCTCAGCATACACCAGTCAAAATCCAGCTGAAATGTAAGAATAAGTGTCAAACATCTTATCCCATTAATTCCAGGGGAGCCAGAGATGCCATTGAACTCTCTTAGCACAGCAGTGGGCTGCACACCAACTTYTCCATGTGAGCAGGGACACCGCTCAAGGATACTCCTCRGGGTTTGGAGATCCTTGACACAACAGATCRGTGGTAAGTGACTATATCAGGCTCACTGAATTTGTAAAATTTATAGACATAACTGTGCACAAAATTATTTAGTCATAAACTGTGGACCAAGTCTTGGACTAGGCTTGGATCCAGCTGCACCCAGACTCCTCTAAAAAAGATGCTGGAAAGCACAGGAGTCCAATCTGAATCCCATGACTCAATGGGAGGGTCTCCTTGGGAATTCAGTGTATATCCTGTCCCCCATGCAGTAAATAAGAAGTAACCTTGTGATAGCATCTTGTTAAACCATTGTCCACATCAATAAACCTACTACTGTTTCTTTCACATGAGTGAAGAGCATTGTGTCTTTCACACCTATGGCCACTGATTCTGTGACAGTAGCTAGCAGCGTTCCCTGGGGATCAGTACCTGGTCTAACTTTTGTTCAACTTCCTCAGTGATCTGGATGAAGAGACAAAAGGCACTCACAGCAAGTTTGCTGATGATTCAAAACAGGCAGGAGTGGCTGAAACAACAGAGGTCTGTGCTGCCATTCCGAGAGACCTGCACAGGCTGGAGAGATGGGCAGAGAGGAACCTCATGAATTTCAACAAAGGAAGGGGCAGGGTATTTCACCTAGGGAGAAATACACCTATGAGTGCCAATTGTCTGGAAAACAGCTCTGCATAAAGGGACGTTGGTGTCCTGGTAGACAACAAGGCGGCTATGAGCCAGCAATGTGCTCTTGTGACTGAGGAGACTAATGGCATCTTCAAGTGCTTTAGGAAGAGAGTTGTCAGCATGTTGAGGGATCCTCCCCAACTCARTGCTGGTGAGGCCAMCTCTGGAATACTTTGTCCAGTTCTTGACTCCACCAGGATAAGAGGGACATCAAAGATGATGAAGGGACTGGAGCATCCCTCCTATAAGGAAACTTTGGGAGAGCTGGGCCTGTTCAGCCTGGASAAGAGAAGACCTCCGGAGAGGGGATCTCATCAGCATGCATAATTATCTTAAGGGTGGGTGTCAAGAGGATGGGGCTARACTCTTTTCAGTGGTGTCCAGTGGTAAGATGAGAAGCAGTGGGCACAAACCAAAATAGAGGAAACGCCATCAGAACATGAGGAAAAGCTGCTTTCCTGTAAGAGTAGCAAAGCCCTGGGACAGCTGTGGGGTCTCCCATCCTTGATGACATGCAAAAGGCACGTGGATGTGCTCCTGGGGCAACATGTCCTAGGTGACCTGTTTGAGCATAGAGGTTGGACTAGGTGATCTCTGGAGGTCCCTTCCAACCTCAACCATTCTGTGACTCTTTGTTATTCTGTGTTTGTGTGTGGGCAACCGACCTTCCATCTTCAGTGATTCTAATGAGACTGATGGTATCTTGAAGTGCATTAGTTAGAGTGTTGTCAGCAAGTTGAGAGATCCTCCCCAACTACTCAATGCTGGTGAGGCCACCTCTGGAATAGTGTGTCCAGTTCTTGACTCCACCAGGATTAGAGGGTCATTAGACTACTGGAGTAGGTCTACGAAGATGATGAAGGGACTGAAGCATCCCTCCTATGAGGAAAGTTTGGGAGAGCTGGGCCTGCTCAGCCTGGAGAAGAGAACACTGAGAAGGAATCTTCAGGGTGGGTGTCAAGAGGATGGGGCTAGACTCTTTTCAGTGGTGCCTAGTGATAAGATGAGAAGCATGGGCACAAACCAGAATACAGGAAACACCATCAGAACATGAGGAAAAGTTGCTTTCCTGTAAGAGTAACAAAGCCCTGGGACAGCTTTCCAGTTGTGGGGTCTCCCATCCTTGATGACATGCAAAAGGCACCTGGACATATTCCTGAGGCAACATGTTCTAGGTGACCCTGTTTGAGGATAGAGGTTGAAGTAGGTGATCTCTAGAGGCCCCTTCCAACCTCAACCATTCTGTGATTCTTTGTGTTATTCTGTGGTTGTGTGTGGGTAACTCACCCTCCATCTTCAGTGATTCTAATGAGACCTTAGACAACAGAATCCCCTTTAGATATCTGTGACACACACATCAGTTTTGGCAAGAGGAATGGCACTTCTTGTGCGTTTGCAAAGTGCACAAGAGGGATCTGAATGCCATTCCAGCCCAGGACCTTAAACCTGGCAAGAGATGCCTAGACTGACTCATCTGAAGGATGGGTAAATGACCTCCCTCCTTGTCCCCATCTCAGTGCTTTGCTACCGAGCTGAAAGGTGGGAATAGGTCCTCTCAGAGTGGGACAGTTCYACCTTTCCTAGATAACCCTCCTCTGATGAGACAGTTCCTAATCATGGCTTCAGTCTTTGTTTTTCCGAGAGAGACCATAGATAATTAGTTTAGTCTGCTTCAATGACTATTTCCCAGGAGGAGGAGGAGGGAGCAAAAGGACAAATCAAGTCACACCTCCAGCTGCGCCACTCTTCCGAGCATGGCCAGGCTCCTGGGGTGGAGTTCGTGGCAACCTGGCAGCGCTGTGTCCAGGAGCAGATCTTCCACAAAGAGCAGCAGAGCTCTGGGCATTTCCCACAGGTGCCAACTTGAGACAAGCAAGATGAGCGAGACAAGTGAGACTGAAAGAAGTTAAAAGATATCCAGAGGTGGGAGGATGTCTGAGAGCTCTGTGGTGGAGAAATCTTCTTAGTCCCTAACACCGTAAGTCTCTCCCTTGCTAGGCAATGACCACAAGGTACCCTGAGGAATCCTCTAAAGCTACCACCACCCATGGCTGATAGGATCTGTCAGGAGGGCTCTCCCCATTTCCCTGGTGCAGAGCAGGAGGTGTTCAGAGCAGGGATTCCCTGTGACACTGACAAGTGTCCCTGACACTGCACGGTGCTCTGTGCCTGGGGCAGTGACTCTGCTGCCTGCAAGGGTCAACACTCAGCCTTCCTGGGGACTGCAGGGGGAGGCTTCTGGGGGGAAGGGGAGACCTGCTGTAAGGCAGGTCTCCATTTGAGAAGGATCTCAAACTTCTCAGTGCCCTCTGTGTCTCCCTATCCCCTCCTCCTTCATCAGAAATATCATGCTTGTGCATGCTGATTCTGTTCTTGCCGCAGGACTGTCTGACCAGGGTGGGATTCAGATGCAGTTCAGACACTGACTCTGTGGAACCTGAGATCATCTGAGGGAGGGTGCAGAGTTTGCTGATGTGCGCTTTGGTTCTAAATTCCTCTGTGCTCAGCCATATCCTTTCTTTCTGACATGAGTGCAAATGTCCTGTACCTCAGAGGTGCAAGCAGAGGGCAGCTGTGAACAAGGGGGATGGACAAGGAGCTCTCCTCACTCGACATTAACACCATGGGAACTCCTTTTGTTCTTAGGAATCACAGTGGCTCACCCTGAGTGAGTGCAGGAGCACTCCAGACGATTTCTCTGTCCTCACAGCAAACTCAGCACAAAACGGAACTCAAGTCAGAGAGCTCAGTGAGGGTTTTTCTGAGGTGATGAGAGAGAAAGAGTTTGCTTCAGGGAAGGGAGTTATGTGAAAGTTCTGCTCCTAGAAGTCTGTACTAACTTGTCTACCTCTCTTCTTCCTTGGACAGCCTCCCTCAGTGCTACAAGACAGCAGATGTCCAACAGCAGCTCCTTCAATGAGTTTCTCTTACTGGCATTCTCAGAAACGCGGGAGCTGCAGCTCTTGCACTTTGCAGTGTTTCTCTGCATCTACCTGTTTGCCCTCCTGGGCAATGGCCTCATCATCACAGCCATAGTCTACAACAACCACCTGCACTCCCCCATGTACTTCTTCCTTCTCAACCTCTCTGTCCTGGATATTGCTTCTATCTCCACTACTGTTCCCAAATCCATGGCCAATTCTCTGTGGGACACCAGGGCCATTTCCTACTTGGGATGCGCTGCCCAGGTCTTTTTCCTCTTTTTCCTCCTTTCAGCAGAGACTTCTCTTCTCACTGTCATGGCCTATGACCGCTTTGCAGCCATCTGCAGACCCCTGCACTACGAGATCCTCATGAGCAGCAGAGCTTGTGCCAGAATGGCAGCCGCTGCCTGGGGCAGTGGTGTTCTCAGTGCTCTCCTGCACACTGCCAACACATTTTCAATACCACTCTGCCAAGGCAATGTCATGGAGCAGTTCTTCTGTGAAGTTGCCCAGCTCCTCAAGCTCTCCTGCTCAGATGCTTACCTCAGGGAAGCTGCTGTTATGGCATTTACTCTTTGTTTAGTACTTGGGTGCTTTGTTTTTGCCGTGCTGTCCTATGTGCAGATCTTCAGAGCTGTGCTGAGGATCCCCTCTGAGCAGGGTCGACACAAAGCCTTTTCCATGTGCCTCCCGCACCTGGCCGTAATCTCCCTTTCTGTCAGCACCATCATGATTGCCTACCTCAAGCCCCCCTCCATTTCCTCCCCAGCCCTGGACCTGGGGGTGGCTGTTCTTTATGCAGTGGTGCCTCCAGCAGTTAATCCTCTCATCTACAGCTTGAGGAACAAGGAGCTCAAGCATGTGCTGAGAAAATTGCTTCAGCGGGCACAATGTCAGCACCAGTAAGTGTCCCATGTGCACCTCCTCCTCATTCCCATGGAACTGGCATGAACGCTGTTGTTCGTTTCTTTCTTAATTATGTTTCCTTTTTGGATTTGCATTAAAGGAAAAATCATTTTGGTTCGTGTCACTCGTCCTCAGAAATCCTTTGAATCTGACTAAGCAACCTGTTGAAACAGAAAGCCAGACTTGTCTCTTCATGAGCAGAGATATGGGGACCTCATAACGTGCTAGTCTCAGCTCACTCAGAGGCCCTCAGTGCAGTGCAGAGAGTTTCCCTTGTGGTGTCTCTTTCAGCAATGACACCAAGGGCTCTGGCAAGTACACATGGGCTGAGAGCATGGGTCTCATGTCCATTAGGGGAGCACAACTCTCCTGTCCACAGTCAGGCTGTGATCTCACACTCATTCCTGTGAGGGTGCCAGCCTGGTGTCCCTGTGGGCTCGTCTTTTCCCTCTCCAGTGCTGCAGTGCTCACAGTGAAGTGGGAGTGGAGGGGACAAGATTCTGGATGTAATCTGTGGGGACAAAACCTATGCTCTTTGGGACCATCCCCTAATTGCTACAGGAGGCATTTCCTGGCTGCAGGCTTCACACGGGGACAACATTTTTCCTGGAGA